GCGTCCCGTTTCATATGACCATGTGTGGAGAAGAGTTCCCAGCACTTCGATGTGAAAACAGATTATCGCGTATAGACTGGAAGAAAAGAATGAAGTAAGAGCGAAATGGCACTGCCTTTTCATGTATTTGCATACGCTTCTTGCATGTGGTTAGAGGCTGAAATGATTTCTTACGAGAAGTCGGGGAACAAGGCGAACGACATTTCGCCCTGGCCTCGTTTGATGTCCTCTACGGTTCACAGGAAAATTCACCGAAAGCAGATTTCCAACGATGCTATTTCCACGTGACTCAAGTACGGGACAGTGGAAGCGTTTGATTGCAGGTCGAGGAAAACGCTCGTCCAGATGATAGTGATGTCTTAACTGCAGGAACGGAGTGAAGTTTTCACACTGCCCGTAAAGAATACGCTTTGAATTCATTCTTGAAGGCAAAATAGTCACCAGCTGCCGCTTGTAAAATAAGGTTGCAATCGCCAGTTAAAATTTTTTCACATCTTCCTCCATGTCTGTATATTTACGGGAAAACGAACGCAACTAACAATTGAAAGTAGCCATATCGTCCGCTATTGTTTTACACTTGAACAACAACAGATGTGTTAAAATTGCCATTCATTCCCAATACCACATAAACATCACTACCATGTACACCTTCCATTTATACATTTCCACCGTCACAGTCAACATAGCGAACTTTTAGCATAGCGTACCATACAACCCTCATCAGCTTATGGGCCTAACTGGTTGGTTAGAATCCTGGTGCGCTCGTTAACTCGTAGATTTTCGAACGGTTGTGTTGTCAGAAACAAACTGAAGCGAATTCACAAGAAGTGTGATACTTCGGTTATAAAATATCGTTGTGCATGGAGAGTTGCTCTTCGAAGGAACAAATGAGAGATCTGAGCGTAACTGGACAATTGCCGTTTAATTATCAAGAACAAAAGACCGAAAGTAAATGATTGTTTTCGACTATCCATCCTCAGACCAGTACAATCATATGAGTGAAATAGCACTGGGCGTAAAAGTGGATTCGCCGACCCATATGATTGTACGGGTATGAGGATGGAGATTAGGAAACAATTGTTTACCTTCGGTCTTTTGTTCTAAAGTTGAGCGTCAGAGTATTGCATAGCCTCAACATCTGATCGCTCATGGAGAAATTAAATGAACTATCAAGCATTGTTTTCTCAGGAAAGTTTTCACAGCTTGGAATCAGTAGGCTGCAAGAAACTTGACACAATGAAGAAGTGGATGATGCAGTCGTAGCTGTTGTAGAAATTAGTTACCGGGTTAATGAAATATGCACGTACCGAAACAGAGGTGGTGGAGTACTTATTTACTCCAATCCATCTTGGTGTATTGCAACGAAACGTGCTTTTTGCTTTACCTCACAGTTTTGCAATTGTTTAGTCATACAATGTACGCCGAAGTTGTTGAATGGCTACCGCTCAATATTGTTGGCTAACATCTACATATTTCCCACCTGTCCCAAACCCGAAGCTGAGAATTGCTAAAATGAATTTACTGCAGCTGTCATACAACTAATCGATTGTTCTCTGTGCATCTTTGGCGGAGATTTCAATAGATGTGACACTACCTTTCTCACTGCTCTCGGGTTGCGAAACATCGTCAATCTGCTCCGCAGATCAAACGCAATCCTGGACCGGGTGTTTGTTAATAATGTGAAGTGGTTCTCCGTGTGTACGTGGGCTGCAATCGGTAATTCTGATCACTCAACAATCAAGATTTCACCTGCAAAGTTGGGCTTGGAGAATCCGCTGGTGGTTGGGTTGTTACAAGCAACCTCTATTGAGGCCTCGGTTCACTTAAGATGGACCTCGGTCATTCCGATCAAAAAGACCGTAAGTAAATTAGAAGAAGATTTCACCTGTCATTTATAGCAAGAACAACCACAACAATTCACTGGCTGCAGTAATCGAAGGGTCAGGTGGAGGCAGTGCTCTCCAGAAAGTTTCGACAAACTTCGCGAAATAATCGCATCGACAGAATTTAGTTTGTTCGTTGACCCGGATGTATTGTGCTAATTTGACAAGCTATATAAACTTCAGTTTTGCTATCTGCTGCCTTTGGAAACTAATTACGTCCGCGCTGACAGGTTATCCTCCCCCACCTGAAGCGACTACGCTGATATAAGGAGAGAGATTAAAGAAAAAGACGGCACCTCAGTAAGATCGCTCACTGGTTGTCTCAATGAAGAAGTACACCGTCTTAACCAAGTGTATGTCCAGTCTGTTCGTGCGAACGTCAGTTGTCGTGAAATCTGGAGGATGCTGAAAACGCTTAGCGGAGTTACCCAACGTTCGCCCTAATTTGTTGTAGACCTAGAGAAATTGAATTAGGAGTTCTGCAAATGCAATACTGCTACAGCTCCAGAGTCTTCTTGTGCCCAAGTTATGAGGTCTGCTGAACTACTGCCTCCCGTTGACAGCACAACTGTGAATAATGTACGGAACCATCTACGTCCCGGTAAAGCTAGTGGGTCGGAAATGCTATCTCCTATCTTACTCATAGAATGTGCCGATTGGTTGGCATTACCTCTTGCGAGTACATACACAAAGTGTATGTAGCAACGCAGAATATCTCACTGCTGGAGAAGTCTCAACATTATACCAGTGCCGAAAAAAGGATCCAACAAACATCGACTTATCGCGTGCACTTCCGTTGCATTGAATGTTCTGGAGAAAGTCATTCTCGAAGTAATGCCGCCCCGAACACACTCTAAGGTCCCCCACTAGTTCGCCCATTGTAGTTCAAGGTCTACCCTAGATGCTGTGGCCTACCTCGTACATTATGTACTGTCACCGCTTGACAATAAGAATAAAGCAACTCGGACGTATTTTCTTGACTACAGAAATGCATTTGGCTGTGTAAACCGCGAATTACTGCTAGAAGATCTACTTACTCAAGGAGTACATATCTCCAATATCTATCTACTGAATGACTATTTTGCTGAACGCACTCAGATCATCCGGCTCAGTGGCCGATCTTCCTCCCCACTACTCACCAACGAAGGTGTGTTTCAGGGAGGTATTTCTGTCGCTTTTTCACTTTTCTTTTTACATCAGCTCTATGCCAGCTTCATCTGCAACGATCCTTGTACAATGTGCGGGCGATATCGCCCTGGGCTTCCATCACCAAGAGCCGATTGTTCATTCTGACTACAAGCGCTTCTGAACGATTTGAATGGCCGCTCCAAATCCCAGGATCAGTCTCTCAATGCTTCGAAGTACCATGATATTCTTTTTCCTTACGCAAAGGAGCCAGATACTAGGAGCTCCATACACTCTGCAACAAGTTATATATTCATGGTGACGGATTACAGTCTTTCACCTCAGTAAAATATCTGGGGGTGACGTTATCGATTTAACCTGGACGCATCAAGAAATGAAACATTCACAAAAGTCAGAAGGTTGTCACTCTGTGCTCCGCGGCTCAGTGCCTCCTGCGTTCCTCGCAAGTTGATGGTTCGCTTTGTCAATGCCTGTGTTCTTCTTCCCCATTGGATGTTCTGTTCCCCTATGATTTTTCGCGGTCTTTTGAATTGTCAGCTCACTAAAGAAATTAACCCGATGTACAGGTGTTCTGATACCTACTTTTACCAACACTTATTTTTACACACATCAGTTATTGTAAAAAGCTGGCCTCTAAAATGCTGACCGATACAACTCATCCCCTACATACTGCCTTAGCTGGAGGTTTATCAATTTGATCTACTAGGCAGAACTTCAAGCTAATCTATGCCCTCACACAAGCTTACCGTACGTCAGTCATCCTTACCTCTACCTTCTTTTGCGAGACCTCAACTCTGTCATCCTTCATGTGACAGTCGACTATCAACTTGATTGCGTTTTACTCCTTATCTACCTGTTCTTATTCGTATTGCATCATCACGGGTAGTTTTAAGAAGGGGAAGACAAGGGTAATTAAAACAGCACGTGGAAACAACTGCAAACGGCTGCCAAATATGTTTTCAACCGGAGTCAGCAGTTGTAGCAACGTGACCCGACCAGGCTCAAACAACCCTAACTAAACTACTGAAAGCGATGGAATTGTGGGATATAAGCTTATTGGAAGAACCGTGCGGTCTCATGAAGTTAGTGGGACACAAGACCAACGTGTGATTTGCACTAATGCAGGAGCGCCAGCGAAGCGGGTTGAGGCGGCTTCAGAAACATGCCAAAGTGGACAGTGGAGAGGAACGATGGTATGAGTTTGCCTAGGTGTAAAACAGCAACCACCATTCCAGCATGAAGTGTTTTGGCCATAGGGCACCAAACAGTGCACCATTCATCAGTTCCTTAAGAAGCGCCACGATTCGGATTGCTTGACCACTGCAATTAATTCGAATATCGGTGAGCCAATCGAACCATAATGTTGAACGCCCACACGGAAAGGTGAATTCAGACGAGCAACCCTTCTCTATTGGCAGGTCTAATTTGCCCCACTTGATGCCCACTGAACGCATGTGTGCTTGTGTTCTGTTTGCGCCGTTCAGCCCAAGGACGTGGGCTGCAATTGGCCGGTATGAAACCTAATGCGGAGCATGAAGTGTACGATTGGTCGTAGGGCCGCTGGCAGTGAATTTCGAGACTTAATCTACGTGAGCGCACGAGCTCTTGCGTTTTGGTTGGCTCACATCATGTACTGTAAGTCTTGGTGCTTTTAGTGTCTGTTCCTACTGCGGCTTTGTCCTGCTGTTAAATCTCACTCACTACCTATCTTGCTGTTCTTTTCTTCTGGTGATGCTTTTGCATTTTATTCCATCCTGAGCGAGACAGTTGGCAACCTGTTTCATCTGAAAGCTGTACGTAGTACTAATTGCCAAACTGCAGTTGGTTAATGTGCGGGTAGAACGAAGGTTTACGATTTTACAGTACCCGCCTCCCAGTTGTATGTATCCATCACTAATTGCTATTCCTGTTTTACAGCCGTATCTAGTCAGAATACAGTGTACGTTGACGGTTGTTATGTGCCACCTAAACATGCGGGTTGTGGTGTGTTCTGGGGTACAGGAGACCCGAAGTAACTACATTTCTAATGAAGTACCAACCGCTTGTAGAAATCGCGCTATCAAGCTTCAAATGCCCCAAACAAATCTCACGGCTGAGATCGCGGTAGGTTAACATACACTTTGAGGGTTTGCATCAAACCTGATTGTGGTGCATCCTGTGACTAATTCATATTCAGCTTTCGCCCCCTGCTTAATTCTTCTCCATTATCCTAAGTTTTCTTACTACCAGTATCATCAGTCTCAAAGTTACCGGGTGGAAATATCGTTATCTTCCAGGCTGCAATAGCAGCGATAGAACAAGCGATATCCTACGGGATGACCCAAGTCTGCATCGTCACCGACTGTGATGCGGTTGTTGATTATTGGACCGGGAAGCGGGAAGTGCCGGAACCTGGGGATGAACCACTACGTTCGTGGGTCCTGAGGCTGCTAGCTTTCAAGGGGAAATCGTTGAATGTTACTTGGGTGAGTCCTGCATTTTCCTTTTTGTGCTTTGTGCCTGGCGCTCTTCACTACGGCGAAGAAGCCAGTTGTTTGCAACACATGGTACAGAGTGGTAGGGGTCTCTTGGGATTCTCGAAAATGCTTATTGCAATCAAACTCAGCCACCAAACGTCCGAAAGTGACAAGCTTCCTATCCTATTGGGACCCGTTGTCGGCATGCACTCATTGAACCCTTCTCAATTCAAAACACTTAGGCAGCTCAGTACTGAGGATAGCGATAGAACACGAAAGTCATTACAGGTTATACGGCCGATGCAGGTACGGTAGCCAGCGGACATCGTTACTTAGCGATTTGATCGTCAACCGAGCTACTATTTGGATGTTACCAATTCTCCCATTTTTTAATCAGCTTACCATCTGTACTGTCGGTTTAGTTATTGTTTTGACTGTTCGAATAATCTAGCGATTTGTCTTTAGCCCGATTTTTCTTTACAGCCGGTTTGTAATTTTTGCGTCTAATATGAGTTAATCTAAAACGAATCTGCTCGACGCCTTCTTTGCTATTACCCTTTCCCTCAGTAATCTGCAGTTGCCTTAGCAGCATTTATGTCACATCAACCGTTGCTGCCCGTTCCGTCCTCAGCACGGTAGCAGTTTGCGTGACAGTGGAAGGTGAGCCACGCCATATCACAGCTAAACATTAATTGTGACACTCCACTGGTGTCTTCCATGGCTCAGTGGATTAGGTGGCTGACTCGTAAGAGAAATGTGTGCGTTTCGGATCCAGATCATCTTACTAGCTCGAATAGGACAACACACACCAGGGGCGCTTTGTCAGATGTTTGGTGCTTGTTTAAACCGCGATTACTTTTCGTACTCAGCTGCAAACAACGACGACATGCTGCTTCTTGAATGCACAATGGCAGGTAACTGCTGAGACTGGTTTCGCCTTTCCCTTTGCGTGAGTGTGAGTGCATTCGAATTTGGAAATTCTCCGATTGGGCATAGCAATCACCAGAGCAACCGATCGGTGATATTTCCGGGTTTCATTCAAGCCCATAAGCATATGTAGGTTGTGTTTGACATTACCCAACAAAGCACTGATTATCCATGCGCCACTTTGCAGCTGAATTCGTCCAGGCGTAATAGTGAATACCCTAACCCCAGACGCAAGTACCAGCGTGACACATAGTTCGGAATTATGGACAACATAAATTAGAGGATATATTTCCATCGTAACAAATTTGTCAGGTAGTTTGGGTGATAGTATGCTCGCTCGTGCCTTAGTAAGTTCATATCCTATTCTTGAATATGGACTCGATATACATAATTCAGTTTCTCCTATGTACCCCACTTATGTTTCGATATCTCACTTTTCAGCGTATAGTGAAGGCTCACTCAGGCGACGAGGGAAATAAGCAAGCTGATCGTTTGGCCAGAGAAGCAGCTGGTTTGGCTTAGATTTTGTAACTTTTATCGATTTCATATAAATAAAATTCGTATCTGCGCTTACTGCCCCACTCGTTCTTTCAGCACTTGTATTCCGTCTTCTGTGTTACTGGAGCACATCCAATTCCATTCGATCTAGTTGTCCAAGGGTAGTTGTGAGCATGCGCAATCCTGTACCATGTCAACCGAAATTATACAATCTGATGTTTCGTTACTCCGTTGTATTTAATCTATGGGCATTGGTTGTGAGTAAAGTGCTATCGGTGCCGAGTGGTTCTATGGAAATTCAGGGTGAAACTTGTGCGTACCTGCTGGTTTACGGTAAGACGAATTAAACGACTTCATGTTTCATGCAGTGTAGTTTCATTGTGCGCGATGACGTCCTGCTGCGTACCCACTGCAAAAACATCTGGTATACCCACCGGCCAGAGGACTACATTTACCTGTTAGATTTTGATGGTAGTCATTGTAGCTGATCTATTCGCGTTAACTTGGTGGAGTCATTGTATTGATGTCATTGTTATACCAAATGACGTTTCAAGTACTCAATGATACGTTTCTGTGGCATAAATCGAGCGCTGTCAAGTGAAGTTCTATGAGACCCAGCGTGGAAACAGTGGACCGATTTATTGATATTATGATGGAACAGGGCCGTCTGATAATCAGTAGTGGTCTGCTCATTGTTAGCGTTGGTGAGACAGTTAGCGGTAAATGGTTTGGGTATTGGTGGTGCTCATGTTTTGGCTGTCACTGAATGAGAGACGTCGGGATCCCCACAATTTTGTCTCATCTGATTTCCCCGTAATACATGCGCCCGCGGAGGTCATTGAAACGCATTTTGCTATTAGATAGGAAACCTGGACTGAACTTGAAAGACGAAGTCGTGTACCCTCAGTGTCTAGGACGCAGGAAACGTTAATTCACTGGATAACCTGCGTCGCATGTGGGAGTGGCGTGTATCTGATGATTGAGCTTGTTATCATCTCTGCCCGGTTGTTTTGATCCGTCGCCGTTTCCACTGTCAATTTGGGACTGTCATCTTCAACCCTCTAACCAAAGCCAGCAGGACACTATGCGTCCATTCTGCCCTATGACAACTACGGATTTTGAAGAATGATATTGGAACAAATAACACCGTACCCCGCTGGATGAAGTTCTTAAAAACTGCGAGCTTGATTCCATTGCAGAAGTGGCTTGCGCCCATAAAACTGTTGGCAACTGAAAGGAAGTGGTTCTAGATTTGTTAAGTTGTTTCGGAGCCTCGATAGACCAAACTCAAAATCGGAATTCGCCGAGATCGTACACAATTTCGTAACCTGCTGTTTGTTATCAAAGGAGTGTCAGTGTCTTTTGCCTGTCAGGCTTCGTCAATGCAGCAGTTTCCTTCAGTTCATCCAGTCGTCAATCTAGTTCAATCACCCTGTCTCACTGTGCAATTCTTAAGTAATTTTCGACTACATCAAGGGTGTTATAGACGGCCTTGTTCAAATAATGGCCAAGAATCCGTTGGTATTGAGCACTTCGACGTCAGTCTAACACTGTTGGAACTCGGATGCAGCCACGCGTATTGCATCCGAAGCAGTTTGATGAACAGCATGTCAACGGCTGCGTCATAGCATGAACCTAGCTACTCGAAATGAAAACACGAAGTGAACACGAGTGAGTTGATGGCATTTATGGACCACCATATTAATCAAGCAACTGCAAATCCACCTGTATTATGTGAACGCCATAGGCCATTGGATAATTGATACAGCTTAGTATACCCCATGAAGAAGCTATGCGGGAAATGTACTCACTACCAACCAACATGGGCGCGGTTCGTTCCTTTCGTCTTCCAGGCTGGAGTCGATATGGCTCGCCTTGTGCTTAGCTCGAGGCTTCAAGGGATATTAAATTCACCACTTATAAATGACGGAGTAGCACCTAAACTTTGGAAAGAGCAGATTATCAAGGGTCCTATGACAGTGTCGCCAGCTGAACTCAACGCTCAAAGTACCCCCATAGGCCGTAAATCCAATAATGTAGAAAACTCACAGCCACTCACCGGTTCCTACAAAAGCTTTAAACCTGTGAAGAACACAGTAGAAACTGATAAGTTCTACCAAAGTACATCCCACAAACACTATATAAAGTAACATACTGAGCCGACAAAAACCGGAGACAAATTTCTTTTGGATATCACAGACCAGAATTCACGCCCCCTACCACAATTTGAGGCACAGTAACTATGGCATAATTAACAGCCAAGACCATGTAATGTTTCTGCGGATGTGGTACGAACGTGACATGTTGTGATTCCTCAGGTATATTGTGTTGTGGGGCGGGAACATTGTCGAGAAAGGCACGCGTGTGCGCAGCTTGTAAAAATCGTGGTCGCGTGCAATAAAGATTGTGCTTTCTTGCCGCTTGTTTCGTGCTACTGAGTGATCAGTGTCGCTCTGAACCTCAGGCCAAGCGCTAAACCAATATTCACACCAAGGTGCAGTGTGCCGAACGCAAAGAAAAGCACTACAGTTGTCAGGTGGAGAAATATCCGACAGGCATTTTCCTTCATTTAAAATTGATGACATAACGTATACGCGAGATCTCCAAGGGCTGAGTAAGTGGTTAACAGCTATCGGGCTTGGCAGAAATTATTGAGTCACCTACGAACTAATGCTTAAAAATGAGAAATGGGTCAGGCACGCAAATCTGCTGAGGCTTGAATCACGACAAAATTAAAGTCCCTCAGAATCGCCTTCCATACCGTTGAATATACTGTTGGCTTGGTAGGCGAAGATGAGGAGCTACGCAAATCAAAACAGGAATCAAGCAAAAGGATGATGCACAATGCAGTGCGACCTGAAAGTGGAGGCGACCGCAATGCTACCAGCTGATCCCAAGGCGAGAAGCTATGAAGAAAATCGAGTTTCAAAGGTACTTAAATACACTTAATTTGAGAAGGGAGAGATTAGGCGGCTGCAAAGGCTTAAATGCGCTACACCGTTTCAAGAAACGAGCTGAGATCCTCATCCAGGACAAAGGGCGTCCCGCAATCCAGGGCAGGGGACGGAGAAAGTTCTTCGTAGTGGCACGCGTTGATAGGGAGTGAACATAAAACTAGTTACAGCCGGACAGTAGAGACCATTAGCTTACGTGAACATGTCTGGTAAAATGACTTTATTCAGCTCAGTAATACACAGTCAGAAGGGAGTACATGTGACCCATCGGATTAAGCATGCCCTGTTTCAAATACACGTCGGTCTAGCATATCTCATCTTCTTTATTTTCCCTGCTGGGTTGGCTGCGCATTACGCGGACAGCAGGCGGAGGTCAGAGTATGGACGGATATTTCTATCTGAACCCAGAAATGGCAATCAGGTTAGAACAATTACTGGCACTCTTGAAGTGACGGCATGCACGTCTTGAAAGCTCGCAGGCTTAGCTCATTGAGATGTTGACGCAGAATTTAGAGTTAGGGGAAAATAAAGTCTTCGACGACTCCCGGGCAATGCTTTTCTTCAGTGATGTAAAGATTACCGTTGCTTGCAGAGGAATCAAGAGCGGAAATCAGTTAAGTGTTGGGGAGTTTTTTCGGTAAACTCTAGGCAGGCCCAAATGCTTACATAACACTGATATTTTGGGGTAATCGTCAAATCAGACAGGGGTTTATTTCTGTGTTTGAACGGTCAAAAGCGATGACTAAAGGCGGCTACATATGGCAAGAAAAGCGCACGAAAAAGACATTAGTACATAGGCTCCAGCAGCCTAAAGTAAATAGGTAAAGTCACAAAGGAGAACTACGTAACCATGTCTGTCAGCCACGATGGTAGTATCGGCCGTATGAATCGTTTATGTATACATAATTCCAGCTTCAATTGATGGATGTAAATAGCCTGGGCGTTGGACAAGCTTTGCTTTCGGAAGCCTTGCGAAAAGCATTCATATAGTGATTAGATGACTTTAAAATCATTCTCAAATGGAGTATGGTCACATTCGATGAGGTGCGACATGATTGGAAGGTCTGGAGACCTCATTTCGCCTTTGTAAAACTGCGCCGGGATGTGCTCGCGAATCCTCTGGGATAGGCGTCTTGTTGTGCGACGCACGTATCATGCACGCAGGAGCACGAGTACTGATAAACGAGCGTTGAAGCGGTCAACCATGGCAGACTATCTTTCAAGACTTTTGAATGCAATGGCTTGTTGTGATAAACAATTAGCAAGCGGGCTGTGAAATAAATTTTCTCAATAACATCTTTCAGGCGTCGATTTCAGCTGTAGTCATTTGCAAATGTATGAACAGCTGTTTCTTAGTAGCAATGCTACCGGGTGGCTTTCACTATCATTCTTTCAGATGCTTCATGAGAAATTTGTCGGAGTAACCATTTTCACCAAGGGCGTCGCTGATTCTCTGTAGCTCTTCGTTAACGGTATCCGGAGTGCAAATACTGCGCGCCCTGAAGGTAAGAGATCGGATTAAACTCCTCTTGTGCTGTAAAGGCACTGCGCTGTGAAAGTTAGTGCATTGTCCAATCCTCGTAAATGTGATTCGCAAGGTTTGAGGATCGTACAACAAACGGTTGCATATTCAGATGGAAGCTTCAAGCCGGTAGTGGCTAACGTCTGAAGAAACTTCCTTCAGAAGTTGGCATCAGCATCGACGGTGACAAGTACTGTCTCTTGGACCTTACATTTTAAGCAAACCAAGTGATGCGTTGTTTGCAGCCTGGATGATTGTCGTAGGGTGCCATATCACAGAAGGGTACCCTGTTAGCAGTGTCTGGATAGCTACAGCAAAAGATACGCTCTTGTAACATATAGGAATGTGCGTGAATTAGACGAGGAGCTCGCGATTAGGTGAGTTCCGAAGACAGTGCTTGCGAAAAGTATCCATGGAAGCTTTGTCTTGACTGGGCCATTTCATAGGGGCATTTAACCGTTATTCGTAGTAAAGCATACACTCCGGGAAAATAGTGAACATGGATCATTATTTCGAAGATATAGACGCAAGTATTAGGGGTCTTCTACTGTCCGACACCCACCAGTGTTAAAGATAGCACAGTTTAGATACTA